AAGGGGGCCCGGATAGGGGAATTTTTTTTTGTTTAGCTTAGTTCCTGTTGACTATTGTTAATTATCTCGTTACAGTTTTTAAGATACAAAAATGTTCAGGTTCCCGCTACTTCAAACGTCTAAAGAAGTTGCCTTTAGAGAACGGAAAACCTAGGTCGTATTTTACTAAGGGATGTGTTGTTTTTTGTTTCTTTTTTACATCATTTTTAAATTTTTATATCCCTTTTTTTCTCCTTAATTTATAATTTTATATTTATTGCCTTCAAATCGTTATGGGGCGTGTCCTGGTTCAATTTATTACATTAAAAGATTCGGGCTAAACAGACTAAACAAATTAAAACAGAAAAAAATGAAAAATACAAAGACCAAACAAAATAAAATAAAAACATAAAAACGAGAATAAAATATAAAAAAAATAGTAATCCACTAAACACTTTAAAATCCAAGAATTTTTCTTGTTCAAAAGTTGTTTAATCTAAGCTAAATTAGAAATCAGTATCAAAAATAAGGCGACATTGGTATATGGCAAATATGCTTTTTCCTTTTATATAATATATTTTTTTATTAGTTATATAAAGAGAAGAAAGAGAGAGAAGAGAAGAGAAGAGAAGAGAAGAGAAGAGAAGAGAAGAGAAGAGAAGAGAAGAGAAGAGAAGAGAAGAGAAGAGAAGAGAAGAGAAGAGAAGAGAAGAGAAGAGAAGAGAAGAGAAGAGAAGAGAAGAGAAGAGAAAATACAACAGAAGAGAAAATAATCATTATTTTTAGAAAATAATAAGCTTTATGATTGTGAAACGTTTGGGATCACAAACGACATATAATAATACCTGGACTGACGATGCATTCATGATAATGAATTTGAAATCGTCGTTGAATGCAAATCAGCTTGACCCGCCATTTTGATAACCCATATAGTAATTATTCTAACGTTAAAAACTACTGTTAAATTGATAACCTGTTTCCTTATTATCTCGATGATCAGGCAATTCTTTAATAAAGTTTGCGCCAGACATAAGAACAAATTAACCTCTCGTTTAAAATTTTTAATGATATGAGCAAACAAAAATGACGTCCCCAGCTGTTTTTCATTGATGTATACACTTTTAATGAATGCATCGTCTGTATAGGTATAATAATATGTCATTGGGTTTACCTAGATTTAGATGTCGATTTTAGGGATCTTGGAATTGTTTCGAAAGAAGAAAAACAAATTTAATAAATTATATCTTTATGTTTAAATAAAACTTTAATAGTTCATATATATTTTTTTTATAAAAACATATTTAAAAAAATCAATTCTGACCTGTAAGAATAATTTTTTTTTAAAGAAATTTCATGTTTTTTTTCCACCAAATTTCTCTGAATTATAGTTTTCCGGGGAATTTATATTCCCTAGTCTTATACAGTTTTGATTGTAGAATTAAATTATCTTTGTAAGCAGCCTTGCTAATACCTAATTAAAATATATATTTTTTATTGTTTAAGGCTATGGGCTTTCACAATTCCTTGTCATTTAAAAACTCTAGGATCGAAAAAAGATTTAAACTTGTCAAAGAAGATATCTGCCTCATGCAAAACATATACCAGGTTTAGGGTTATAAAAAAAATTAATTTTTTTGTTTACATTTTCGCATTGTCATAAAATTGTTTTTGGATGGTGGCATGGCGCAGGCTAGAGAGGTCTAAAAACCTGAAAAAATCTTAATTTATGTTAGAATCGGGTTAATTACTGGTTTGAACTTTTCCGGGCTTCGCGCTCTACCTGAGCTCATATAGTGTCAATATTATTGGATTAACGTGATTTTGCATTAGACTATACTTTATATTACGATTAAAATTTTTAATAAGATGTTATAATTCGTGGTGTAGTTTGTAAAGTTTTGAATGATTTCACAATCGTTTTTAGGTAGCTGACGTAAAGGCTGTAGTAAATACGTTGGTAGAATTACCTTGCTGCGGTGGGTCAATCCTTCTTAAGAAATGTATTCCTGGATTAGCAGAATGTCCTAATAGGGGAACGTGCACCGCTAAATTTAGGTATTAATTATGATTCTCTTTTCTTACAACCAGGGTCGGAATCCCCCATACTGAAAAAATTATTTATATTTTAATAATTAAATAAAAGAATCTATTGGGATCCCAGAGTATAAATATGGGGATAGTGGATATCATAAGTGTTAAATTATGCTATTCTGAATTTTGCTCAAAATAAAAGGATAATTTATCTCATCTGCTTTATTCGACCAAAAACACATATTATGAATTCTGGGCTAAATGTATGACGCTTAATATAATTTTTCAGGTGGCCATTTACTGAGCTGGTTGCCTGAATCATGAATTAGATGATGCTTAATATTATATAACATTTGCATGAGAATTGCATATTTAGCAATTATAATTATAACATAATAATTTTTTTCTTCTTTAATTTTTCCTTGATTTTAAACAGATATTCCTGGTGTCTTGGGGTATTTTTCGAAGAATTCAACAACCCTAGAAATCATTGCGAAGTTTGTCGCAGGTGCACCAATAGCAATTACCAGCATTGCTACGTGAGCTTAATTTCTAATTCTTATAATTTGCAGTGTCTTTTATTGTCCTTCCTTTCTTTTTTGAAATTTCTTTTCATGCATTCTTACTTTCTTTCTGATTTAATTATAAAATATACCAATTTACATAAAATAAGTACTTGGAAAAGTGTAAAATATTTATAATATTGTTTTTTTTTGTCAGAGATGCAATCGATGTTACTTGGCAGGTAAACCACCGACCACTTGCGTCAATTGTTACCCTCCCGCAGAGGACTAGCTAGAAAAAATGACGAACAAAATCACGTGTCTTATTTACTCGCAATATTTAGGATTTATTATAATTTATTGTGCAAATTTTAAACGAAATATATTATGTATCATAAATTTTTGCTGGAATAACGACTTATCCGAGAAATCGTCACGCGTGGATTCGGAACCCTGTCAATTCAAAATCATTCGCGAGCGTCGGGATTTTTAAATTAAAGAGAAAAAAAAATCTAATTCTACCCGGAAATCCATTCCACAGACAATTTTGACTTTTAATCTATTACCATTTTTGTATTATTTAAAAAACGGCTAACTCGATATTATTTTATCCATAAAAATATTACGCAAGCCCGAAGATTTTGTTCTTAGAAGGAACAAAGGTCTAGACACATATTATCGAAATCTCGAGGCATAGGAAATATTTTTTATGGCTAAAATATTAGTTAATTTGAAAGAAATTGACTTTTTACGAAATTTATTGGTTAAGTGCTTTTACTATTTCCGGTAAAATAGGATTTTCAATAAAAATTACAAATTTCCCTAAAGATGAATTGAATTTGAGGGATTCACGAATCTACACATGAGAATTCAGGATAAATCGTTATTCTAGAAAAGTCCATGGACAGTATTAAGTGTAATTTATTTTTTTTTAGTTAATTGTTTTTATATATTATATATTTATTTCTATAATGTTTTTAAACATTGTAAAAAAAAAAAAAAATCATAATTAATTTTTTTTTGTAAGAATCATTGTTTTATTTTTTTTTCAAATTACTATAGAGCAAATGACGCTTAGATGGTATCTAAAATATAATGTATGACCTTATTTTCTTTTCTCATTTATATACAGTTATTAGAATAGTATATCATATTATATAAATTAGGTGCAAATAAAATATAGTATAATGATTTCTAAAGAGTTGTTAGATATTAACTTAGCCCTCTATGATGTGTCGCCCCTTGAGATTTTCAGAATTATATCCCACATGTTAGAGGACAAAAATTAATAACAAGTTGACGAGAAAAAAAACGACAAAATATTTTTCCTTTATCCTAGAGGCGTTATGCGAAGCAAATAAATTAAGCCATGAAGGTGCGAACTGATTTTTGCCTGCTTGGCCCTCAAAATTATGGCGTTTCCCGGATTAGTTGTTTATGGAGGAGGTTTACAATTGGCTAAAATGAACTTGTACAGTAAAATCTGGGATTAGAAAAGCTACTTTTATAATGTGATGTTATATATCATCACCCTTACTTGTGATGACAATGCACAGCCTTTGGGCACTGTTTATATATATATATATAATTAAAAAGCCGTTCAGATAAGATTGTTATGAGTGGGGCTTGAGACCCAGTCACTAGAGACACCTAGATTTAAGAATCACTATGGATTTCGACCTGAGTTCGAATCCATGCTTATCATGGTTATGATATATACCTAACCGGAAGTCGGGGCATGATTCGAACCAAACATCCTTCCATCAATATATTAAAAATGAGTCCTATTGCATTTAATAAAAATTTGAGAATTGTTTAGTAAAATTGTTATACTATGTTCCTAACTAACTGTACACTACCATTAACCCACTTTTAAGGTATTACGAACGAATTAATGAATAAAGTTTTCTCTTTTATTCGAAATAATTTTTTTTTTTTGAAAATCGTCAAAACATCGAAAATAATCATAATCGAGTCCATTCAAAATGTGTATCATATAAATTACGCAATTCAATTATCAATTTTTGTTTTCCATTTTGTATAATATTTTAAAGAAAAATGATATAACAAATGATAATCGTGAATTTAAAATTTGCCGGGAACGAGAAAAAGGATACATATTTTTTTTTTGATAGTTATATATATATATAAGGTATATTTATAGATAATTAATATAGTAAATACAATAAGTATAAATTCTATAAGCGTACGTATTACACTAAAAAGAATATTGATGAAGGTAAAAGTGTTAAAAAGATTTAACGAATTTTTAGCAATAACTGGCCTGAATTGCATATACGGATAATGCTAAAATAAGTAAAACTTTTTTTTGTCTTTTCTTTCTTTTTTATACAAATTTGTTACGATAATTGTGTAGTTATCATTATAAATTATAAATGATTAGTTGATATAAATAGTTTTATTAAAATACGGCTTGTTTTGAGCCGATTATTTAAAAAACAGCTAACTCAATATTTCACCCAGAAAAATGTTAAGCAAGCCTGATTGTTCATAGAAGGAACAATGGTCTAGACATATATTATCGGATAATCTCGAGGCTTAGGCACAATTTTTCTGGCTAAAAATATTGAGTTAGCCGTTTTTAAAAATCGCCTCAAAACGAGCCGTTTAAACAACGCAAGATATAAATATGCAAATAAAAGCGTTCATTTTATTATAGAGAAAGAGAGAGAGGTAAGTGTTTTTTTTGCCGCGTTCATAAAAATAAAGCAATGCGGAAATAGCAGCGATGAATGACGACCTCGCGCGAAAATTTAACATTTTAAATTGCGTAAATCCCACTACGAACGCGGATATTAAATGTATAAGATTAAAAATGCTAAACGTTTTGGAATTGGGGAAGGGGGGGGGGAGGGAGTTCCTTGCTTTTAAAGTTAAAAACAAATATCTATAATAATTATATGATTAAAAAAAACAAATAAATGCATTTTGATTAGATTATTTTTTTTAGCTAAAATAATATATATTTTTTAACTAATATTTTACTACTATTTTTCGTAATGTTAAATATTACAAAGATTTTTTTTTGACGATCTAAAAAAAAATTCAATTTTTTCACGTTTTTCTATTATAAAACGTTAAGCAGTGTTTTTATCGACTCTCATATTTTTTGTAGCTTAGAGATTAGAGAGGGTTAGATGGAAGATCGTAAGTAAGCAGATTCGGTTTAGATTTTTTGAGTATTTTTTTTTAAGGTTTGATCCCATTTTTTATTTTTGAAGATTAGCTTCTGGATTGTTGTGTCCTTATTGTTTATTAGTTTTTTCCTTGATCCAATCTTAGATTCCATTTTCCTATGTTGGTAATTTTTGTTTTCCTGTTTCATTTTCCAACAAACAAACAAACAGGTTGTTTTTTTTTAGCTTAAATTATATTGACAGTTATGACCGGCGAAAATTGGTAAGCATCTGTTAACGATAATTTAAAAAAAAAATATATAAAATAAAATTATTAAAAATATTATTCGAAGTTTTAAATAAAACAACCACATCTGTTTATTAGGGACTTGTAGCCCAGAAACCCGGCCCGGCCCGTAGAAATGTATTATTTTTTAAATATTCGTCCGAACCTTCAAAAACTCTAAACCGGGTTGAGTCGAATTTTTTAAAATAATTTAATTAATGATATCAAGGAATTATTGGAATATCATATGGTGGGTGACTATTTAACATTCATTCGTTTCTAATATTTTTCGAGGCTAAATGATAATAAAGGTCAAGAGTGCACTCTTTTTACAAATTTTTTTCATAAAATATTTAAACACGTAATTTATTTATTATATATATGAAACGAAAAATTGATATTTTTCGTATATTGTTCTGTGGCCTAGTCGGTCATTACGTCGATCACGAATCTGATGGTCTTGGGTTTGAATCCCTCAAAGATCATTATTTTTTCTGAAGCCAACTTTGTTGGTTTATACTTGAATGAGTGGATATATATATGGTAGATCAGACTCAATCACGTGATTCATTAATATATATATATATATATATATATCACAAAAAAAATAAGGTTAGTCTTATTTTATGTTTTGATAAAATTTGGTCATCGTTTAGGCATATAATGGTTTGAAATGCATTTATCAATTAACCTATTTTAAATTTCTTTTTTTTAAACATTTTAGGTGGTATTGTTAAACGGCTCGATTTGAGACGATTTTTTAAAAACGGCTAAATCAATATTTCAAATAAAAAATATTATGAAAGCCTGAAGATTTTCGTCATAGATAGCACTAGTGTTGTTATACGTCAATATTTTAGCCAGAAAAATAGTGTATAAGTCTCGAGATTTGGCTAATATATGTCTAGACCTTTGTTCATTCTATGAACAAAATCTTCAGGCTTCAGTGATATTTTTCAGGATGAAATATTGCGTTAGCCGTTTTTAAAAATCGGCTCAAAACGAGCCGTTTAACAACACTAGCACAAAGGTTTGGACATCTATTAGCGAAATATCGAGACCTAGGTAATATTTTTCTGGGTTAAAATATTGAGTTAGCCGTTTTTAATAATTGGCTTAAATTGATCTGTTTAACAACACTAATTTTAGGAAATAGAGAGAGAGAGAATTATTCAAAATGATTAAAAAAAAAATTTTTTTTTTAAAAATCCAGGCCGAGCCGTAAAAGTGAACAAAATATTTTTTAAAAAAACGGGTCTAAAAATTTATATTATTTTATTCATCAAGTTTTGGGGTAAACGGTTCAGTTCAAACTGCGCCACCGCTAAAAATTAGAGAAAAAAAAATATGTGAAGATTTGAAACATTAAATTAGCATGAATGGATTAGGGGGGGGGGGTTGCAAAAAACGTGTTAATCACGTATATGGTTGTAATTTATAACGTCACGCAAAGCGAACACATCGTCAAAGAGCTATCTATAAATGTAATCCAAGGTTTACTATTATTAGTAGGGGTTATTTTTGTATTGTAAGGATAAGCCACTGGAGAACAATATAATAATAATAATAATTAGCAGAGTTGTTAAGGGATCTAGATACTTATATAAAAATGTGGTATCTGTATCTAGATAGATTTTTGATTTAAATATCGGTATCTAGATATTATTTTAGACGATGTATCTGTATCTAGATCCATTTAAAAGGTATCTTTTAACAACTCTGATAATTAGTGTCGACATTAGACATCTGCAAAAGTAGGGCCGGGTTTATTTTTTTGAAAAAATCGGGTTGGTCGGTCCTAACATTTTTTAAAAAATTCGGGCCGAGTCGGGGTTAGGTCTTGGAATTTTTTTTTCAATATATCGAAATTTATCGATTTTATGTTGAATTTTTAAATGTAAAATAAAAATATTTGATTTTATTCATAGAAACTCTCGACACCACATAACATACATCTTTTATTTTGAGTAATTATAAAAATTAATTTTAAATTCGGGTCAGGTGGGGCTTGAAAAATTAAGCACGACGCAGATCACTAATCGACATTGCCATGATTTTATAACTAGGAAGTTGGATTACTTTCCTTCATACTGGGCTCTTTTTTGAAGGCCTTTGTTGGTAAACGGATGTTGGATTTAGCCTATTTTAAATTAATATTTCGGCCAAAATAATATTACTCAATCCTCTAGATTCCCGTTAGCTGATGTCCCTACCCGCATAAGAGCAAAAATTTACAGACTTGCGTAATATTTTTTTGGGCGAAAATATTGGTTTAGCCATTTTTTAAATCGAGCCGTTTAACAAACACTAGCCTTTGGCTAGACTACATTTTTAAATTAGTTTTTCAAATTTTTTTAAAATTATAGTCATTATTTTAAAAAAAATTTTTTTTTTTTAACTTTTCCCATAAGATGATCCTTTCTAACCTCAATACTTTTTATAACACCGTCACAAACATATTCTCCAATATTTTATTATACATTTCCTTTTTTTTTAAATTTTATCACCGTTACAAACATATTCTCCAATATTTTATTATACATTTCCTTTTTTTTAAATTTTATCACCGTCACAAACATATTCTCCAATATTTTATTATTCATTTCCTTTTTTTTAAATTTTATTATTATTATACTACTAGATGTATAATCTTTTTAATGTTTTATTCCCTATAGAATTATAAAATTTAATATATTTTTAATATAAATTTTATATTTATTTATATTTATTTTTTAATAAAATTATTGTTTATAATATGACATGATTTTTTCATCATTTTTGGAGTAAAAAAGGTGAGCGGGAGAAGGGAAGGGGGTGGCATAGCTAGATATTTTGTATTAGCTTTTAAAAACAATATTAAAGAAAACTAATTTTTTTAAAAAAAAATTTTTGGTATATTTTCGTATATCCGAGCCGGGCCAGACCTAGTTAAGGCCGGACCGAGTTAGGCCGGTTTTTGGGCTGGGCCCTGATATAAGTATAAATCTCGGTGGCAATTTACTCGCAATATTCGAGACCCATGATGGATTTGAAGCACGTTCCCCCGTTTTCGCACATCAAGATAACGCATTTGTAATCGGGCTTGGATACTTTAAACAAAATACATTTGTATTTATTTATTTATTTATGAATTCTTTTTAAAAATAAAAAGATATATACTTATTTATTGGTATTATATTATTAAAATTGTTGATATACACTTTTTCTAACTTAAATTTAGATATCTTTTTTTCTCCCTTTTTATGTCCTTTCTTTTCATTCCATTCCATTCCATTTCTTTTCATTTTACATTATTTCTTTTCTTTTCATTCCATTTCTTTTTATTTTATTCCATTCCATTCCATTCCATTCATTTTTTTATTCCTTTCTTTCCCTTTTTTTCCCATAAAATCTAAACCAAGTTTTAGAATCCTAACCTTTTTTATGATAGATACGAATGAGGGAAGGGGCCGAGCGTACGATGTTGCCGCAATAAGTTTTCGCTTGGCAATGATAGCTACCCGAGTCGCTTAATTTAGCCCTCGATACTCGTAGAATGGTTATTTTCCTTTTTATTCAAAATTTTTTTAAAATTAAAATAATTAAATTTATAGATATAGATATAGAATAATTAGTTATTCAGTGCTAGTGATTAAAATTGAACCGGAAATGGACTGTTGTACTAACCGATTAAACGTTAAACTAGTATAGACCGTTAAAACGATATTAACCGTTAAACAAGTATTAACCGTTATTATTTTCCAAACCCGAATCTGAACTTTAAAAAAATGTTGTCATCAGAATCTAAACCCAACCTCTAAAAGGATATTAGAACCGGTTTAAACCTTAATTATTATAAATCAATTTCGAATGATAAGTAATCAATCGCGCCATCTTTAGAATATTCCTGTATAATTGGCTTAACACTCGTAGATGTAGTGCTGTAAACGTTACTACCGTTACTTCAAAAAAGTAACGGGTTAGGTTGCTCGTTACTTGAAAAATTAAATACTATATACAAAAATATAAATAAAATTATAACAAAAATAATATATTATAAGGTTAGATCTTTTTATTATAATTTTTTTTCCCCCATATATAATATAAATATACAAAAATAATATCATCTTTCGCCGTGCTAAATATACGCTCAACTGGCGCGGAGGAATGGGAGGGTTGTATTATATTTATTAAATAAAAATTTTAATTTCGGAAATTTATTAATAATTAAAGAATAAGCTTGATAGAACATTTTCATCAGAATCTTTATTCAGAATCCTCGTCGAAATTATTTTTTTTTATCTTCATCGGAAAATAATCTGTTATGTGTGCTGTTTTTTAAAAGGAATAGTTCTACTTTACCCTATAATTTTATCCAGAGCTAATCTAATTTAAAAAGCGGTAAATTATTGTAGATAGTCGAAAATAAATATACGAAATTTATTTAAAGCAATTTTTTTTAAAATTTAAATTCTTGTAATCGTTATAGTGGGAGTGAGTTATCACGAATAGAGATCGAAAATCTGGGCCCGACCCGAACCCGGCCCGTTTATTTTTTAGAAATAATTTCAGGTCGGGTGGCGGACTTAAATTTTTTTTTTACATTTAAATAAATTCGGGCTGGGACAGGGTGGACAAATAATTTTTGTTTTTAATTTCGGATCGGGCATTTCGGAACAAATAAAAAAAATTTCTTCAGAATCGGTCAGGGCCTGACTCGAAAAATTAGATGCAGATAACCTAATCCCAAATGCTCTAAAATTGAAAGAGTCGTAGCAACTGGTTCTCATAACACACATATATATATATATGCATATATACAAATGAACGACTTGTCATTATCTAAAAATCTCTTGCAATTCGATTTATTACAAGATTCGTCAAATATGTTATTTTCTCCACAACGAGACTGTTAATTTCACGGAGGGCTTAATCCGATATCCTCCCATATTTTCCTTAAAAATGGCTTCACAGTTTTCGAGATTGTCAATGTTTATTCCACAATCCTTTTTGAATTTTGATTAAAACTTTTGTCAAGTGAAAAGAATGATAAGCATAGGATGGAAAATCCTAATACTTGGAACACAATTTTACAAAATGTAGACTTTTTGTACCCTTATTTATTGGTGTAAAAAAATCAACTGAAGAAATGTGTACAATTGACATAATATTCTTTACAATATTAGAGAATATGAATATAAATTACCTTTATCTTGTTTTTTATTCAATATTAATTAGATTAACTATCTTGAACTGAAAATTTAAATAAAATTTAATACAAACTAAACAAAAAAATATGCTTTTTTCTATATATTTTTTTTAAACGAGCATATACGTTTTTTGGCGTTACCGTTAATTAAAGAAAAAAGAAACGCGTTACCGTTACTCGTTAAGTCTAGTAGAAGGTAGCGAATGACGTTCCATTTCTTCAAAAAAGGTAACGGCGTTATTTTTTGACGTTACTTTAATACTTTACAGCACTACATAGAAGTGTTCCTCAACAATAAAATTTCTCCTTTTCTCCTTATAGATATAATCATTTGACCCTAAGAGGAGAATCTTAAAAATATTTTAAAATGTCTCTGGGAGATTCGTGAAATAAATATAGAGAATAGCGAAAAAAAAGAATTATTAAAAATAAAACGAAATTAACTCTTGTTGGGTTATGAGTATCCTCCTTTTCTCCCGTTTGAATTCTTCGGGCTTATTTGATTCGTAGATAAGACGTTTCACTTCTTCGTACCCATTTTTTCCGAACTTTTCGACATTTCTTATTTTTCGACGCTTAGTATTGAACTCTATTCTACGACCATCTTTAAACCATCTTACCTTATTAGTCACCAACCGGCGGTTATTTATGCGGCATTTGAGAATTATTGTTTTCCCGAGGGACACTGGTCGGGCGTATTTTGAAGCGTTAAAATTGAGTATTTTCGCTCTATTCAAGACTTTATCGTCTTTCATGGAATCTGAGATATGGGAAAGGGGAGACAAAAAAAAAAGAAACTTTAATAACTTAATAATCTTATCTCATTACCAAAATTCAGGTTTTAAATTTTATTATATTTTTTTTAAGAGAGAAAGAAAGAAAATAAATTTATTTGTCCAGCCAAGACATTACATATATTTTCTTTCTTCCTTCCTTCCTTCCTTCCTTCCTTCCTTCCTTCCTTCCTTCCTTCCTTCCTTCCTTCCTTCCTTCCTTCCTTCCTTCCTTCCTTCCTTCCTTCCTTCCTTCCTTCCTTCCTTCCTTCCTCCCTTCCTCCCTGTTCCCTTTCCCATCTTTCCTTATCCCCAACACAAAAATAATCCTATTTATATAACAGTGCCATAATTCTTACTTTAATTTTTTTTTTTATTTCAATAGATACATAAAAAAAATAAAATCGATTCAATATGTTAATGGAAATATCGGTATATCAAATATAAAAAAATGGTTTTGTAACACAATCTTATTACTTTAAGAGGTGTTGTTATTCAATATCAAAGTTTTTCTTATTTTCTATTGCCTTTTTTAAAAAAAAATTACCAAAAAGCATATCGGATATCTTTCGCTTACAGCTTACTTCTTTTTTTTTTACTAATAAAAGAGTGAAGTTATTTTGAAACATTCATAATTTTTGCTTGCTTTCAATCAAAAGAATTAAGATATTTTTTTAAAAAATATTTTATTTTATTAAGAGGCCAAAATCTAAGGCCGAAAAACAAAATGAGATATAGCTATTATGTATTATTTATTATGCTTCTATAAGTTTCGAATAGTGCTGTTAAACGGCCCGATTTGAGTCGAATTTTTAAAACCGGAAAACTCAATATTTTAGCCAGAAAAAAATATTGTCTATGCCTCGAGATTTCGTTAATTAGATGTTTAAACCCTCATACCGCCGCCTATGAGCGAAAATCTTAAGGTTTGTTATAATATTTTTCCTAATAAAATGAATAATAGCCGGCTCAAAATAAGCCGTTTAACATTAATTTCTAATAATCCATGGTTTCCTTGGCTATTTAAAAAAAAAAAATTTTTTTATACCTCCTTTGACAATATATAAACATTATTTATAATTAAAATTGATATTAAAAATAACCTATGTTAAGTTAAAATAAGTGACAAGTATAAAAAAAAATTCCTCACGGAATATCCTGTGTTTAAAAGTCATTGTCCCTTTATTAATCCTGAAAAAAGAAATACCTTAAAAATGATGTTACAAAATAAATGGTATAGGATTGTCAAAAATTTTATAATTGTTCGTTAAAATATTTTATAATTTTTAATATATTCTCATTAGAGATCTGCAAACGGATACTTGGGGCTGAGTCGGGCCTAATATTTTTGAAAAAAAATTGGGGCAAGATCGGGCAAGCCCTTAGAATTTTTTTTTAAATATATCTTAAAATTATCAATTTTATGTTAAATCATATACCTTTTATTTTGAGTAATTATAAAAATGAGTTTCTATATTTAAATTAGGGCCGGTAAATTTTTTTTAAAAAAAATTTCGGGTTCAGGCCGGACAGACAAAACTTTGTTAAAAAAATTTTGGACCGGGCTGGGCTTGAAAAATCAGGCCTGACTCAGAACACTTTGCATTGCAATGTCTAAAAAAAAATGTTATTCATTTAAAGATTTAATTTAACTTGAAGGTTGTGCCCAAAAAGCAAAATTAATTAAATTCACAAAATTTCGAAATTTTAATGAAAATAAATAAATAAGCTATTTTTAAATATAAAAATAAAAACATGTCCCAAAAACAAATTTTTTTTTTATATGAATTTTCAGTAAATTTAACATTTACGATTTTATCAAAATTTTTAAAATTTGTGAAAGTTCAGAAACTTTTCGAATATTTAAAATAGATTTTGGACATAGCCACAAATAAGTGAACATTGGCTTAATCATTAGCAAATTTACCAGTTTTCATAAAATATATATTATTTTGGAGTTTTTTTCCTGCCAAGAGCTTTCATTGAAGAGGGGTTTAAACTGTCCAAAAAAAATTATGGCGGAAAAAGCGCCTATTAGTAAAATTAATTGAATTTATTATATTTACATTCGTTCAATTGGTATAATTACGAGCAGTAAGTGAATGGAAATAGCCTATCCAGACACGTCCGAAAGTCGTTATTATCCCATCAGGTTCCAGTTCATCCTCAGAAATCGGTCCTAAAAAATGTCTTTCCCTCATAAAGTGTCCCAAGGACGCGCCCGTCATAGGACCACACTAGTATTAGGGTTAGGGGTACTCTTAGTTTTTCTAAAAGTGAAGATAGCTTTTAGTAAACTTGAGATATAGTTTGAAAAAATTCAAACTTGGTGGGGAGGGGGGGGAGGGGACCAATGAGGATCGCGGGTTTTGAAACATTTTGCGATCTTCACAAATAGCTCTAATGATCCTTCTTATTTATTCTTAAAGTATTAAATAATCTCATTTGTAATTTTTTTAAAGGTTTTTTTAAAATTGTTATTTTATAAAAAATGTTTTATATGTTATTTTTATTGTATTTTGTAAATAAATAAAATGATCAAATTTTAACAAAAGAAGAAAAGTGATATTTATTTGAAGGCAGGGAGAAAAAAAAAGTTCTAGCCACATCGCTCTGTCCTAAAATTTGAATTAAGAACACTTCCGGTTTTAAAATGGCGTTAAGAAGCGCGCGGTTTTTTTCCTTTAGGACCCCACTCCCTGGGAAATTAGTCCTAAAATAAAGATTCACCCTTCAGGACGCGTCCTAAAAAAATAATAAAAAACCGGTTTTTATTATTCGGTTCTTTCTTTTTTATTTGGGTCATATATTCTTCCCCCCCCCAGGGGACTAGGGGGTCTCCCTGTTGAATTCCCTCTTAAAATGTGCTTATATTATTATTGTATCTTAAACATGTTGGGTTTGAATAGCTGTGATAAATGTGTGATATGTATTCTGAATATTTGTTAAGTATAAGCATTATTGAAATCAAGTTTTTTAAAAACTAAGTACCCCAACCCCACCCTAATCCCGGGGTATACCTCACGCCTTTGAAATAAACGTTATAATACGAGATATCTATATCATATTGATGTGTATTAAATTGTTGTTTTTAAATTCTTGAAATAAGTTGTACCAATTCTTTGTAACACAGGTTTGAATCCGTTTTAAACTTTTAATAGACTGCGCCATTTATATAATGTATTTTAATAGTAAACGAGTTTTTCTTATTCTTTTCTTTTGTAATGTAAAATCAAGTTCGAACTTTTAAACAGAGTACGAATAAGAGAAACGAGAGGGATTTAGAAGCCAGCCTAGCTATTTTTCTCTTACAATTACAGAAATACACCTTTTAAAATATTTGTCCTTATATCAAATAAAAAATAAAGGATATAGCCTTTTCCACCTCACCTCCCTCCCACAACCCAACTTTAAGCTCCCAGGTGAAAGTAATTTTGTGTGTTTGTTTGTTTGCATAATTGATTAGCAAGTCATTTAAACTTTAGAATTAACACAATACAATTCACATTTTAAATAAAGTAAGTGGTATACGCTTAATCATTAATTAAACAATTCTTTCCCGCAATTATTTAATTTACATGTTATAATTTAAAAATATTTTGAATAATTTTTTTAAAAGTAATTTTTTGCCATTTTGTGATACGTTTTAGAAAGAGATGGGATACTCAAACAAAATTTACTAGGATTTAAATTTTACCAGCTGTTTTTTTTTTTTGAAAAAATATATTTTTTATTTAAAACGAAAAAGCAAAATAGAATTGTTTTCGAAATCGTTAAAATGAAATGAAAAAGGAGGAAAAAGAAATAGGACATAGTTACTAATTAATAATTACCCCAATGGGCATTAACCAATAATGCATATATATATTATCTACTATAATACATAACTGTTTAGATATCAATATTCACTTAGCCGCGTGATATTTGCCTGGGAGGTACAAAAGTTATCCAAAATTTAATTTGAGCGCATGCGTAAGAAATTTTTATTTATTTTTTTGGAGGGAGAGGGGGGGGGTGAGGAGGGTCAATGTTATTTGATTCTTTTGATTTTATAGCACATAAGATAAGAGCCACTAGTGAAATGATATTTGATAATTATTTTTTTTTAACTCCTTATCAACATTGCTCCAACATTTTTAAAATGAATAATAAAAAAAATAACAGAATAGTTGAATGGGGAAAGGGGGGGGGGGGGTGAATGAAATGTGAATTTTTGTCAAATTCTGTTTTTTATCGCGAAAATTCGAAATAAAAAACAGACATGGCAAAAGGAAAATAATCACGCATCTAATATTATATATTATATCAATTCAAAATAATCTAGTTAATTTTTGAATGTAAAGTTAACATTATATAATATTGATTTTAACGTTTACAATGTAACAAATAATAAATAATTAATATTTGTTCTTGTTTTTTTTTTATATTTTGCCATTAATTGGTATATAATGGAATCGGTTCAATTTTGAATTTGATTTGAACTTGAAAATCAAATAAATATTTTTTTCGTTCAATTCGACGGGTATGGTGTGGTGTTGTTAAATGGCTCTTGGGCCGATATTTCCTAAGGCTTCAGATTTGGCTAATAGATGTCTAGACCTTTGTGCCATCTATGAACAAAATCTTCAGGCTTGAGTAATATATTTTTGGATGAAATATTGAGTTAGCCGTTTTAAAATATCGACTCAAAATGAACCGCTTAACAACACTAGTGTAATGGCCTTACCGATTCGGGCCAAATTTACTTTTATATTCAACGGTTTATGATGGCATCCTTTTTTTAAAAAATCATTTTATAAATTATTTGAAAATTTGAAAAAAATAAAAGTAGTTTTCAATTGGCTCAACAGGTCATTTTTCTATTGGTCAAATAATGCCCCTTATAATTTAATCATATGCTTGATCGGGGTTAATTTTTGCCCTATCAGTTTTTTTCTTATAATAAATTTTGGAGACTTGTAGATCGACCAGGACTCGGTCCGCTGAA